AGGAATTTATACGGTTGTCGCCACCTAGGGTTGCCAGTCCTCTATTTTAGACATGAAGGACATGGGTGATGTTATTTATATGCTCGGATGTAAGATCCTTAGAGATTGTTCTGGGAGAATTCTCGGTTTGTCTCTAATGACTTACATAAGGAATATCCTAGAATGATTCTAGATGCGAAATTACAAATCCATTGACTTATCTATCGGTAAAAGCTAGAGCCTTAGCTATTGAGTGAATCATCGGATTGTCTTTGGGAGAAACAAATGACCTATATTCCTTGATTTTTTTTTTTTTTGTGGGAGCCTGAAGTACGCTATGTGGGCGTATTAAGCATAATGAGTGCTATCTCTTTAGATGGTCAATTGAGTAGTTTTAGACCTTGACCTTGCTCATTAGACTGTGGATAGGATGCTTTATTGGTAGTGTATAAATTTGCCCATTGTAAGATTCAATGCGCTAGTTGGGCGCATCTTGAATGAACGTAGATTGGTCACCAAAATATCTTTAGAGAGGTAATTGCGCAATAGGTAGTGATCTTGAACCACTTCATGTGAGGCGCACATGGTGGATTCTGTTGTATATGCTTATCGCAAGAGGTGCTGATAAGGTTTATGCTTGGAATCTAGAAATACGCAGACCGTGGTCGTGTTTTTTTTTAAAATCGATCACTTATTTGTTGCGAGATGATGGGATGTTGACACTATTATGGTTTGTGTCATAATGATTAGCAGATGATGATGTCAGCAGGCAAGCTTGGCTCACTCACACGAGCAATCACCCTTGGCGCTTGGGAGCGAGCAAGGATGAGACTAGTGGTTTATTTTTATTTGGAGCCAAGAGAGGCTTAAATTATCCACTATATATGTCGCCTTGGTTACAACCAAAATGAGGTTGTGTTAAGGACCAAACATGGATATTAGTACCCACTTTCCATGTTGTGCCTATTATGATTAGCCAGATGCGAGATCTCATTTGGTGCCTGGAAGGCGAGCAAATAGAGAATTCGGGTTAGGCGCTAGAAAGAGACTAGACTAAGATCTGTACGGTGTATCGAGTATGTTGTCACTCTTTTGGAAGAGTTACTCCACTGTAGCATGTATTCATACTCCATGTGCTTGGCGACCAGGTAATGAGGTGAGAGAATGGATCCCTGTTTCTTCACTGTGTGAGTCTTACGTGTCATTATTGATGTGACTTTCACTTGTGTACCCTTTTGTGACCTTTGACTATGTCACAAGGTAAGGGGTTGATGTTCTGCTACTTTGGTATGTTGCTTGCGGTCATGTATAATTCGGCCTTACAGGTCATCACTGGGAAAACGATCAATCCTAAACTAAATGGCATAAGGGCAAGGGAAAGATCATCTAGTGTTACATCACAATTGTATATTCACTGCCGGCAACTCACATCACTTTGTATGAGAGGCGGATTGAGTGTGAATATATTGCAATAATTGAGAGGGTCAAACATGCTCTTTTGAGGGATTAGAGATGTTTTTGGACTAGTGTAATTAGATGGGTCTGGGGTATATGAGACACTATTTCTATTTTTTGGGTTGATGTCCCTATGCTGGCTCATTTTGAGTTTCTAGTATAGAGCTCCCACATGCAAGTGTTTCTTGTCATGCCAACTCATGTGCGAGTGGGAGATGTTGGAAATTAGGCCGGGTATTGGACTCGAATTTGGGCGCCCATGTGGCATGACCCATGGCCCATTCAAATTACCCATGTAATTTAAATTTGATTTCCTAATTATCCTATTTGTTAGTAACCCTCTATCTATCTACATCTATCCTATCCTTAGGAGATATGGATAGATGGATATATATGGTTATATATCTGATTATATGTTTTAATATATAGAACATTAGATACGTGATGTGGTTTTTTACCCATAACATTTTTTCCCTATACTCTCTCTCTAACTCTCTCCCATCAGAGAACGATCCAGCCTTTGCACTATGACTAGTGTCGGTGATACTTATACTGTAGTATCACTCCATTGCTGGGTGTTCATAGTTAATGGTTGTCAAGCACGTGATTTACCAACAAGGTTCTTCGTTTCGAATTCTTTTACACAAGGTATGGTTTGAATCTTTTTACCCGTTGCGTTATCTGTATCTTATAACTTAAAAGACTTTTCTTCATTTTTACGTACATATACATCTATAATAAATTGTATGTATCTATAAATGTTATTTTGACTTTTTTTGTGTGATGTTGTGTATGAAGCTTTCCATAGTCATTGTTGCCTATGAAGCACAGGTACAGGTACGAATACGAATAGTAGTACTGGTACAATACGGGTACATCAATACGGTAAAATTTTTTAAAAAATAGGGTACGGCTAAGGCTTGGTACGCTTGTAAAAAAATATTTATTTTTAATTTAGAGTAATGCAAAAATTAATTAAATGATTTAATTTGTTAAGGTTCAACCTACAATTAACATTTAATGTCAAGAGTAAAGGTATAAATCAAAATTAAATGTCAATATATTAAATAACTTACAAACCATAGTTTGATTTTAAAATCATGCTAAGTATAAAACAAAAAATAAAAAAAAAGTCTAGTGAAAGGAGTTTTATCTCTGCAGTAGAAGAAAATATTATTTTAACTGAGGTACGGTACAGCTTGAGTATATACTAGATACGTCTGGGTATGCCAAAAATTAAAAAGAAAAAGCTTGGGTATGTGTTGTGTACCTGGTCAGTACGTATGCAGAAGTACCATACAAGGAATATACATATTTTGTCTATCAAAGAGGAATAGACTTTCCAATTCCTCTAAACCAATATTATAGAGAAGAAGAACATTCAATTATCTCCTTGGATTTGCTCAATAATGTTATACTATTACCACCACCTTGGTTTAAATGACATCACTTAAAAGATTTTTCGTCATTTTTACGTACATATACATCTACCATAAATTGTATATATATATATATATAAAATTTATTTTGATTTTTTTGGTGTGATGTTGTGTATGAAGCTTTTCATAGTCATTGTCGCTATATGCTTAGCTAGATATAGTGATCTATCTGCCTATAATTTTCATTTCTTTCACTGTTATTAATTTCCTATGTCAAATGTGTTACAAAGAGATTAAATAACTTCAATTTGATGATGGTATTATTATCCCATGAAAAAAAAAAACACAAAAATTGATGATATTCTAAACATAAAATTTAACAGGGACTTTGAATATTTTGTTGATTACTTTTTTATTTTTCTTTTTGTCCATTTTTTAAAAAAATTTACTGTGTTGCTGATCTTTTGAAGTAATTTACGGCATCATTTCTGGTAACATTTCATTTATACCATAAATTTTATATTTAGAATTGTTATTGTCTTTCAATGATTTATGCACACTTTGTGCTTGCTATGACTCCTAGTAGTTTGAAAAACAGTCTTCACAAAATTACTTTTTAAATTTATATATGTTTATATATTGTCGTATCCTTAACATAATCCATATCTTACTTTTCCAGAATTTGTATCGATGTATCCATATTGTGTCATACCTCTATCATGTATCCCATTCCATGCTTTATAGATTCAACTAGTCACTTAATCTCCACCAATACTACACTTTGAATTTTTTTGCCTGCCATGACTTCTAGTAGTTTGAAATTAAAACTATTTGGTAGACTAAAAAGTCAACACATACTTGATGTGCTTGAATACATCGTAGGGAAGCATTGCAACTCTTGATGATAGTGGAGTTATATGCGGAGCATGGGACTGGAAGTAGAGAGCTTACATACTTCATGGTGGTTATGTAACTGTGTATATAAAATAACTATGTGACTCAAATGATTTGATTAATTATCACCATCTGAATAAATGAATCAATTTTTATTCAACTTTTTCTAGAAATCTTAAGTCTGACTCAGCTTTGCCAAAATTAGAGTGTTTCCTAATTATAGATAAATAAAGAAAAATAGTTTATCCTAAAAGATTTATGACAATTACTTTTTAATTTATATATATTTTTATTTATGGTTGTATCCTTTAACATAATTCGTATCCTACTTTTTTTCAGAATTTGTATTGATGTATCCATATTGTGTCATACCTCTATCTTGTATCCCTCTAGCCATGCTTTATAAATTGTAACTAGTCACCTAATCTCCACCAATACAATACTTTGTACGTATGTCTTAATGTGAGATAACACAAGTACATTGGAAGAAATACTCTGTAATAATCTAATTGTAGGTATATAGTACGTGAATGATATTTCTCTGCGCCATCTAGGCATGTTTATATTCTAATTCTAATTTTCATGTCTTATTGTTTATCATAGTGTTAAGACTAATAATCAATCCATTAGAATAGACCTGTGTTTCTAATTCTTCAGTTACTTTCAGGGATGGGAGCAAAATTTTAAGAACCTTAATATTTTATAGTAGTTCCCTTATGGTAGGTTTGAATTTTTGATATCATTTTATTTGTGAGATATTTCATAGTTCTGCATCATCTTTGACTCTCCTAATTCCTGATAACTAACACATCAATATCTAAAGGACTCTAATTTGCTTAGGCTGCATGAAAAACCACTAACTGATCTTAGTTTCTGCATCAACATTATGAACAATTCTGCAGTTACTTGAACAGATACATTCTTCCATTTTCAATATTGGCCTGAAACATTTTATTCTTGAATTCATTTTCACAGTAGTGTTGGAGAAAATAGATGAGCAAGAAGGTTTCAAGTTGTTTGGGACCACAGATTCTCGTGAACCTGAAAATGCAGTAGAAATACTCGAGCAAAGGGAGCAAAAGGTCTTATTTCATGAATCTACTGAGTTGGGAAGAGCAAGCAACTTGCGCAAAAGTTTAGATTAGGATACTGTTTTTTTCATCAGTGCAGGTATGCTTTTACAAGAGATCTGAAATATTTGGTGCCTTCTACCAATGTTAACTCATTTCATATGGTTAGAGCAAGTTAAAATTCGAAGTCATTAATGCTTCATGCGTGATCAGAACTTCTAGATCCAGAAGAGATGTTTATTATAAATAGAGGATTTGAGAAGGTTGAAGCTCACCTATTACCCGTAACTCAAGAAGATCTGTGTACGCGGAGATATGCAGACTCAGAATCTACATTAGATAGTGATGACTTCTCTTTGGACAGCAACCAAAGCACTGAGGTTGATTTGGTTGAAGAAATAAGAGCATCCATTGAGAAATCCAATATAATGTCCAATATTTGCAAGTCAGTTTGCAAATCAGGAGTTGGAGAAGCCCACAAACGGGAAACCCACTGTAAGTATATTGCAAATTCAGAACAAATCTTATTGTGAATGGAGGAAGAAATTTTTGCCTGTTCATTTTGTATGTGAATTGCAATGTGATTGCATTTAAGGTATCCCAAAGAGATTTAATAGGTAATCAGGCCTTCCGCCATTATTGCAGCAGGAAATATTGAAACCTCACTTGTCCTAAATTCTTTTCTTACTCTTAGGCTTAGTAAGCATAATATCTTGTGTTTAGGAGGTTGGTACCTAGCCTTAGTGTCTTGTAAAAAATGTTATATGGTCTCCCTTTTTATGCATCTATTTGTCACAAATCTATGCTTAATATCTATGGTTGTTTCTTTTCAGCCTTAAAGAAACTTGATGACATCTCTCGAAATAGGGTATGTGCTATTGATTGTAGTCTTTCATTGTAATTGTTCTAGCATTTATTGAGAAATTAAGTTCTCTTGTATCTAAATATCAGGTGAAATCCACACCAACTTCTAGAAGGCAAAGCGTCTATATGCAAGGATCAAAAAGAGTTAAGGAGGTTGTCCATCCACATATCGTCCAGGCATATATCAATCGAAGAAAATGAGATTATATAGTTCCTTTTAGTATTTAGAATGCATAAGTGTTCATCATCTCATTTGCTCAAATTGAAAGGCTGCATTATTATTTATAACTTACAAGTTACAAGTTTGTCCAGGCATGTATAAATTGAAGACAATGAGATTATATATTTCCTTTTAGTATTTAGTATGCATAAGTGTTCATCTCGATTGCTCAAATTGAAAGGCTGCATTATTATTTATTACTTACAAGTCACAAGTTTGTCCAGCATTTGGTAGTCTAACATGTTGGACATCTAGACACAAGATTGTGTAAGGAAATGAAATTTTAACCCTAGGATATGAATTAACTGACTCAAATTAATTTGATCAATACAGGATGCTAAAAAGAACATGGTGTCAGTAGGACAAAGAAAAAAGATTTCCTTAGGTGCGGACCATGTCAAAATGGGAAATAAAGTTGCAACCCTTGGATCTGGTAAGAACCATCACATAATTTAAAAGTTCCTTTCTTCCAATTCTAATGGAATTTACATCAAAATGCATTGACTGTTACAGGGAAAGATTTAGTATCCAAGAAATCTGGATTGGGGAACTCATGTTGTTCCACTAGCTCTACAACATCCCTTGAATCATCTTCTTCAGTTTTTGTCACTACCAGTAATGATTCATCAGCTTCTTGTTCTCTATCTGGTAATGCTTCGTCGTTGAAATCTTCCTCAAACTCGAGAAGAAAAGTAGATTCCAGGAAAAGTAGACTTGCTACCTCTAGTTCAACCTCAAAGACTTCTCTCAGGTGCTTACTACGAGACAAAATTGTGTTGGAAAATCCTGGTTTGTCCACCCCTTCATTGTCCATGTCAAACCATTCTTCTAATGATCCTGCAAAATCGACCAGAAATTTGAAACCTTCAGGTCTCCGAATGCCATCACCAAAGATTGGGTTCTTTGATGAGGTAGTTTTATTTTCTTCCTATTTGTTTAGTTCTATGTTATGAGTATTATTATTTATTACTTACAAGTTACAATTTTGTCCAGCATTTGGTAGTCTAACTTGTTGGATTTGTAGACACAAGATTGTGTAAGGAAATGAAACTTAACTCTAGGATATGAATTAACTAACTCAAATTAATTTGATCAATACAGGATGCTGAAAAGAATGGTGAAGCTAATTTGTTTCCTCATAAGTCACCCAAGATATTAAGCAGGATGAACATGGTGTTAGCAGGACAAAGAAAAAAGATTTCCTTAGGTGCGGACCATGTCAAAATGGCAAATAAAGTTGCAACCCTTGGATCTGGTAAGAACCTTCATATAATTTAAAAGTTCCTTTCTTCCACTTCTAATGGAATTTACGTCAAAATGCATTGACTGTTACAGGGAAAGATTTTATATTATCCAAGAAATCTGGATTGGGAAACTCATGTTCCACTAGCTTTACAACATCCCTTGAATCATCTTCTTCAGTTTCTGTCACTACCAGTAGTGCTTCGTCGTTGAAATCTTCCTCAAACTCGAGAAGAAAAGTAGATTCTAGGAAAAGTAGTCTTGCTGCCTCTGGTTCAACCTCCAAGACTCTCAGGTGCTCACTAGGAGACACAATTGTGTTGGAAAATCCTAGTTTGTCAACCCTTTCATTGTTCATGTCAAACCATTCTTCTTATGAATCACCTGCTAGTTCCATTGATGGATGGTCCTCAGAATCATCATCAACTGCCAACCAAAGCTCCAACTGTTTAGAGGTCAGTTTTCATACCAGTACTTCCAGAGGAGCTTGTTTAGGAAATGATGCCACCCAAGCATTAAATTTTCAGAGTTTCCCCCATGATGAATGTTTCGATGATCAAGAAAGTCATCAAACAAGGTTTCCAGATCCATGTCTTGAAGTAGTTAGGGGAACTGCTAATGATCTTGCAAAATCAACCAGAAATTTCAAACCTTCGGGTCTCCGAATGCCATCACCAAGGATTGGGTTCTTTGATGAGGTAGTTTTATTTTCTTCCAATTTGTTTAGTTCTATGTTATGAGTATTACCTTGTGAAGTCAGTATTTCAATCAAGTAAAGCTTATTTGCTTTGGCAGGACAAAGCTACGTTGTCGACGGTAGGTAGAGATTTCCTGTTTCATTTTGGAGCGCAGAGTGCTTTGCCTAATATCAGTGGGGTGACAAACAGAAAAAGGCCGGATAAACTTCAGACTACCAGAATTTTACTAGAGAATGGAGATACAAAACTTGATTTTGTGCAAAATGGAGTGATAAATCCTTCTTTGAATGCCATTCGTAGATATGCAGCATAGAACCAAGAGCTAGATAAAAATTCCCCAAAAATGTCTAGCACGTCTACAACCTCGAGAAATTTAACAGGGAAAACTTCGAAAGGTCAGATTGATACATCTCCTCAATTGTGCAGAGAAAATTGCTCAAGATCTAGTAAAGTTATTGATGGGGGACATAATTCAAAAAAAATAGGCCTGCATTCTAGTTTGAAGGAAGAAAGGAAAAAAACAGAAGGGATATTGAAAAATGAAATGGGTGGAGAGAGCAAGAGGCCAATGACGAAAGAACATGAAAGGGCCAGCAGGCGCCCTCTTGAGAATGACCTCATTCACTTCATGACAACGAAAAAGAAAACATACCTAGTTTTGGAGATCATGTTAATGGTTTAAATAGATGTTTGGAGGTCATTGATCTCAATAGGGGCGTGGTGATAGAGCTCGAAGGGAAGAGGGGTTGCTCTTATTCCCACCTTGGTGACAATTTCGCTAAAAATGACAGAGCCCCCATATATTCATCATCCTTCTCTAAGAAGTACCTTTTTCCTCGCTAGCAGGTTTCACCAAATATGCTGTCAAAGACTGGACCACTCTCTCTTTCAACGACAGTTGAGTTCATGCCCAGCACAAGAACTCCATTGGCAGACAAAAATTCTGCTCCCATGTAGCAGTAGATTAATTCAGGTTTATAACAGAATTAGAGTCAACAGTAGACAAGGCAATGGAAAAGGTGTCAAAACACTCGATTACATGGCATTGGAGATCAGATTTTTTTTTTATTATTATCTGAACCTAGGATTAACATTTCAAGGCATGGGTCTCTGTTCTATATTTCTCTCACCTGAGTTTATTAATCTTTAAGTTCGTTCTTCTGTGAACACTTCCCATATATTAGCAAATTGTCTGATCAACCTTGTCATTTAGTGTTTTTTGATTGTGCAAGAGTTTTATTGGATTGGAGTTCATAGTACTTGTATAGGAAAAATTGTTCCTGAATAAACACATACTATTTGTCAGATCAAATATAATAAATGTGTTGGATTTCTCATCTGTTTTGAGATTTGAATGCTAGCGTATGCTTAGCACATATTAATGTGGAGAAAACAAGTAAGGTAATATAGAACATCATTAAATCCATTGACATTCCAAGCACTGAAGTTAGCCACTGAAAATGCAGCAGTCACTGATCCTGTTCTGTAAGGATAAATCACTAGTGCAACTCTCTCTCTCTCTCTCTCTCTCTCTCTCTCATTAATATGTTGTGAATAATCTGCAAGAAATTTGAGAGGGAATTTAACTCATCTTGCTCAGTGGATTCTCAGTGTTGGAAGGGACCAGCAAGTTAGTTCTGACACTTTGCTCCGTCGTTTTTTGGGTGTAGACAATATTATTTAAGATGCCTTACTTGCATTTGACTGTGTGTATAGGATAGAGAAAGTTTTGTCCCTTGTTTGATTCTTGAGATTATGGTGATGAGATGTGACTCGATACTTGGCTACTGATGCATACCAGCCAGGCCGGCCTTGCTAATTTTGGTTTTTCTGACTTTTAGACATGTAATATGTATTTCATTGAGACTAGGCTTCTAGTTCTTCTGTTGATTTTTTTTTTTATTTTTACAGCGAGCACCAACTATTTCATTTCTACCATAAATCTCTCTCCCATTCTCTCATAAAAAAAAAAAGGAATCAAAATTTGATAAACAGTAAATCAAATCTCTCTCGTTCTCTCTCGTAAAAAAAAGAATTAAAATTTGATAAACAATAAATCAAACAATAATAAAGGTAGAGAGAAAACCATAAAAAAGATATGCATGTAGTGTGATGATATCAGAGTATTATCAAAGGTCTATGGGTGGGACCGGGTTGATTGTGGACTGTACCTCCTCTTTCACAGGCTCTTACAAAAGAAGTCCTTTGATGCACCAAGTTAGTAGGGGGCTTAGACAAAAGGAGAAGATAATAGAGATTAGGGTTAAATTAAAGTTATGTTTTGCATGTGGCCAACTTTTACATAACACATTCTTTTAGATCTCTCTCTCTCTCTCTCTCTCTCTCTCTAGTGATTGGAGGAATAATTTGAAAGGGGAAGCAGAGGTAGAAGTGATTTGAGGAACGGGCGGTGGATTTTTCATATGAACTCCCCATTTTGTAAGGGGTGAAGGGGAGTCTGGGGTTTGAAATGGGGCTGGAAATAGGGTAGGATCAAGCTTCGAGGTTCTGAGGTGTCATTTGAAATTGATGATAGAGGCCTTTTTATTCTCCAGAAGGTAGACAAAAACATTGGCTGTAGTTATTGGTGGTCGCTGGAGCTATGAATAGTTTAGTGAAGTAGTTAAGAAGGTGAGAAAGTTGTCTGATAATAGTGATAAAAGGGTGGATGAAAAGATCAATAACTGCACTAGTCTTGAGAAAATTGAATTGTAGAAATTGACTAATTTGGGGAGGGAGGAGATTCGTGAAGCTGTTAAGGTAAAAAAAGAAAGAAAAAAAGAAGAAGAAAACTTATCTTCTAGCAAGGAAAAGGAACTAAAAAGGCTTCAATGTAGGGTTAATTATGAAGGGAAGGGAAGAAAGAGAGTGAGGTTTGGTGGGGTAGTGTAGTGTGGAGAATAAGGATGAGCATTCCCATCTTGGAGGAGAGATTTTAGATATGAAGAAAAATTTTAGCGCCTTATTTCACTCCATAATGAACCCCTGACCCCTGGTCCATTCTACTTACAACTGTATATGGCACATTCTTTAATAATTTGTGATTTGTGTTGTCATTGATGAGTCATTGTAACCAAGATACATAATAATAATAATATAAAAAGAGTTATGTGGGTTATTTTGGGTGAGCAGTGTCATATGTCCTTTTGATGTTATAGAAGTTCCTTTGTTTATTCATTCTACCCAATAAATTTAATACCTGCACATGTTTGGCTCATTCATTTAGAGTGCCCACACTTGAGGCAGCATCAATGATCTTGATAGTTAAGTTAAACCCTTTGTAACAACTTAAGCTTTTAGATGAAATGGTCATTAACAAGTTAGATTTACTAGTGAAATCTATATTATCTTTGACATGTTCTCTCAAGTTTCGAATATGTGTGCCTTGCTTAGGTCTGATTAGTGTTGAAAACTTGATAATTATTTAGCACAGTTTATGTACAATGTTTCTTTTATTCCTTATATAAATATTTCTAATCTAAGACAGGTGTGGAGCTAAACAATCCGGTTAGCTAGGTTCATCTTCTCAAGCACTTGATGGCATCCTTGGTTTTGGACAAGCAAATTCTTCCATGATATCACTGCTTGCATCGGTTGGAAAGGTTAAAAAAATGTTTGCACATTGCTTGGATGGTACTAATGGAGGTGGAATCTTTGCTATTGAACAACTGGTGGAGCCAAAACTAAACTCAACTCCGTTGGTCCCAAACCAGTATATGATTTTACATCATGATTTCTAATTTGCAGTGAAACTTGAGATATTTTAATTTTGGGATGAGTTTTGTCTTCATTACAAAATTGGTATTTGAAGTACTTTTTGCATCCTTTTGATGGAATGGAAGTGGTTATTTAGCTTGGATTTTAGTATCTGACTCAAATTCACCAAGTTGATGCTTTAAATTGTCTATTTCCCCTCATGTGTAGTAATATTAAAAGACATTTATAATATTCGACGACACTGTAAAATAACCAAAATATTGTCATATCAGCCATCACAAAGAATTCACCCAAAAAAGCCGTCACAGAGACCGTTGGTTTCCCTCTCTACCTCTGAACTATCTTTCTGTGTCACTTTAATTGCCTTATCATGATTAGAGATTATTGGTTGATGGCAACGGAAAGAAAATAACTCCATTTTCAACTATTGTGTCCATCTCTTTCCTATCAAACCAATTAAATTTATCACACGACCATATGAACCACCATGGCAAGACTACCACCTTTACATCAGCTTCATCAAGACACATCAACTTTGTCAGGATCCACCAATTTTAAGCTACATTGGCTAGATATAATTAAATCAATGAGCTTTAGTTTGGACCACTAAGCTCAAATTTCTTGACTTCAAGTCTGAACCTTCTGCTCCCACTCTCTCTCCAAGCGATTAACAATCTAGACCTATCTTAGGCTCAACATCGATATGGTTTGTAAGATTAATGTGACATGTCGAGGCTTTGTTTTTTAAATGAATGGCTTTGTGCTTATGTTGAGACGAAAATTAAAAAGATAGAAGATTGAATCAATGGCGATGCATAATTTCTGCCATGCTTAACAGGAAATCAACCACCATCTCCACCAACAACACTGACACCTCCCACTTCTCCCTTGACCACCGTAGGTTCCCCTTTCTATGTTTTTGTTTTTTGAGAAAAACTTTTAGTGTTGTACATAATTTTTTTTCCCTTAGATTTTCCATACTATTCGATACATTAGTAACCACTTATTGAATTTTGTCAAATTATGCCCTGTGTCCTAACCACGTGGGGTCGGCTACATGATTTTTTTTGTCATTCCACTTTGTCAAGAACTATATGCTATTCTTTCTAGTAACTTTCTTAGGCAATGAGTGAGAAAAAAAGTTATCCCACAACTACTTAGTAAAAGAAGTGAGTATTTAAATCTTGGGTGATGATTGTTAAATTTACTTCAAGGAATAAAATAACATGCAAGGAACACCCTTACTCAAGAATTAAGTTTCTATTTGCATTAGCAATTAGATTATGAAGAAATGATCCGCCACTATATCTATTTTCTTTCATCTATTAGTAATTATTATTATTATTATTATGTTTTCAATTTTAGAAGAAAGAGATATTCATATAGCATATGATTGTTAATTTTAAATCTATTTTTAACGGACTTGCTAGTTGCTACTACATAACATCCTTTTATTATTCTTGTCTGTTTATAGTTCCTCAATCAGGTTTGATCTCGGTTCAAGAATCTTGTCTAAATTACAGTTCTTTTCTTATCTTGGGCACATTACAATGTTATTTTGAAGGCAATTAAGGTGGGTCATGATGTTCTACAACT